TCATTAATTTATAAGTTTTGTTTTCTTATCTATACAACTCAACTAGAGAGGTTTTCTTTTACATTTTCCCCTCTTTTTCATTAATATTTTTAACAAGTGCAATATTTGTTTGCTCTTCTTCCCCCTCCAATTATACACCACCTCTTCCTGGTCTGGCTTTTGTTTGTCTTCTATTTGTTCTTATTTCATATATTCAATTCCACAGATTGGTCTTAAGAAGTAACTTTGTGCCTGGCATGGTGGTGTACACCTTTAGTCCCACTACTTGGGAGGCAGAGACAGGATGATATCCATGAGTTCAAGGCTAGCCAGGTATAGTGAATTCTGAGACTATATAGAAAGAGCCTGACTCAAAATTAAAAACAAACAAAAAAGGTGACTCTGTGCCTTGTTTCACAGGTTGTGGTGGTATGGTATAGAGAAGCCCTGAAGCTTTTTCTTCCTGTTCAATCACAATTAGATATTGAATCTCTTGCTTCCTTTTCAACTTTATCTAATGCTACGTGAAAGTGTGTGGAGTTCTTCAGTTAAGCTGCTCTTTAGCTTCCTTCTGTGTCTTCCAGATGGAGCAGAGACAGTGACTGTGCTGAGAACATGTATATTGACATGATGCTGTGGAGACACGCTCGGCGACTCTTAGAAGATGTGCGCTTAAAGGACCTCGGTTGCTTTGCAGCCCAGCTAGGCTTTGAACTAATCAGTTGGCTTTGCAAAGAACGTACTCGAGCTGCCCGTGTAGACAACTTTGTAGTAGCATTGAAGAGACTTCACAAGGATTTCCTGTGGCCACTTCCCATTATCCCAGCCTCTTCTCTCAGTTCCCCTTTCAAAAATGGAAAGTGCCGAACAGGTAATGTGGACTGCTGACGGTGTTAAAAGTTGTGTTTTATTTTAGATACTTAGACATGTTAGCACTGGTGGAAGTTCAAGGAGCTCTTTTCATTCCAAAGTTAAAAGCAAATAAAAGCCAATTTTTTTTTTTGTACATTAAGCTGGAACATCCACCATCTGGCCAAAGATATATATCAGGTAGAAACTATTATCTCTTAAGTCTTTTGGGCTTGAAATTTGAGAATTGAATGTAGAAGTTCCTGTATTTACCTTATTGTAGCAAAGAATCTAGAATGAGTCAGTCATGACCCTCAAATAAGCTCAGCTATGATTGATTACCTAACAGAGCACATCCCAGGTGATGATAAATTGTCTTTGACATGTGCCATTTTCTGAACTCGGAGAGGAAAATATTTGAGTAAAAAAAAAAAAGTTTATAAATTCAGATATTTTTCCAATTATTTAAACGATACCCTTTTATCATGGTGTTTGGAAACTTTGGGTTATCTTAAACAAAGCAAGTCACTTAGATCAAGACAGTAAGTGGTCTAGGTACAATAAGAAACATACAGTGCCTCAGAGATAGTCTCTTCCATAATTTCACATCCCTAGTTTTGAATAAATGATACCATATATGACGGTGATTGGCTTTGAACTGATCGTTTTGTCAATGACAATACTTTTTTTTTGCTTCTGGACTTACCGTGCAGTGGGAGAGCAGCTGTTAAAGTCTCAGTCAGCTGACCCTTTCGTAACCCCTGAGATGGATGCTGGCATCTCTAACATCCAACGAAGTCAGAGCTGGCTCAGCAACATCGGCCCCACCCATCGGGACACAGACATAGCCTCATCCCCTGGACCACAAATGCAAGATGCTTTCCTGTCACCATTATCTAATAAAGGTATTTATCTAATAAAGGAACAAGCTGTAGCTCTTCTTGAGTTTTGTTTGGGAAAAGATAGTGTGCCATAGCATTTCAAAGATACAGCATCATACTTCTGTCGGTATCCCGAAGAACTAGCCATTAGACATCTGCCGGTACAGGTGGATAATGGCAAATTGACTTCAGCAGTGCTTTACCATATTTATCGTAGATGTATGGGATATAGAGCAGCACTAAATAAATCTTTGCAGTCAAGTTTTTTAATTTATATTTATTGTGTATGTGTATCTGTCATGTGTGTGAAAGAATACACATGTAGAAGTCAGGACAATTTTGTGTAATTAGTTCTGTCCTTCCATCTTTTTGTGAGTTTCTGAGACCAAACTCTGGGTATCTGTCAGGCTAGTATCTGGTGGCAAGTGACTTTACTCTCTCTGAGCCATCTTGCTGACCCTTTGCTATAAGGAATTTTCCATTAAAAATGTACTTTCCATCACTGGTTTTTATTTCATTAATAACATTTATGAAAAATTCTTTTTCATTTTCATTTTACCTCTTGGCTTTCAAAGTTTGAAATATTACTCAGTCACCCGAGTAGTTGAAACTACACATCTACTCTCCAAGCCCAGATCAATTTTTTCCTGTTTTCTTCATGGCAGCTATTTACCTAGTATTGGGCTACCATTTTGTCATCACTATTAGTGAAGCCTATGTCTTCTAACCGCTATTAGTTTTAATTATAAAATTAGGAAGTTTTCCCATTTTAAGGCATATAATTTCTTTTTATTGCCCTGCTAGTTCTTAAAATATATATGTTGTTCATATAATGGCTGTTTTAGTAATAGATTGAACATTTTCATTTTGATATCTTGAGGAGAGATTTAGTATTTTTGGAAATAACTAATATAATGAAAGGAAAATACTCATGAAATGAAAAGCTCATTTATAACTTCTGAAATTTCCTCATCAGGTGATGAATGCAGCATTGGTTCAGCCACAGACTTGACTGAAAGCAGCTCCATGGTGGATGGAGACTGGACAGTAGTGGATGAAAACTTCTCCACACTCAGTTTAACTCAGTCCGAGTTGGAACACATCTCCATGGAGTTGGCAAGTAAAGGCCCTCATAAATCTCAAGTTCAGCTTCGGTGAGTTTCTCAGATTGTTGGAAACACAAAAAGCCTAACCAGGTTTCTGTGTGCAGTAGACACTGGAGCTACTTTCTAAGTACTTACCGCCCTTTGTGTGTCAGCAGGCCTCTCATACAAATCACTCTGTTGTTCTTTTATAGTTATTTGCTCCACATTTTCATGGAGGCGGGATGTCTGGATTGGTGTGTTGTCATCGGCCTGATTCTCAGAGAATCCTCAGTCGTCGGTCAGATTCTGAGCATTGCCCAGTCTTCAGAGATGGATGGAGAGATGCTACAGAACATAAAAACAGGGCTGCATGCTGTGGAGCGATGGGCCGCTACTGACTGGTAAGTGCTGGCTTCCACACACTCGGTAATGCTTGATGAATAGCGACTTCACACTACGATTGTTACAGTGGTAAGGTGTTGGTGCACATGCTGTGAATCCCAGGACTTGGGAGGCAGAGGCAGGCAGATCTGAGTTTGAGGTAAACCTGGTCTAAATAGCAACTTTCAGGTACATGATACCCTATTCTGCACCCCTCCCCCCCAAAATAAACTTATAACTCATTCATTTTGGAGGTTTTCATTTTTATATTTTAAAGTAATTTTCTCTAACCATTGTGTACTCAGCCACTCAAATGGGTACTGTTTACTGAATAATTTATAGTTTTGGTTAGTTATAATGTGGAAGCATATGCTGACTTAAGATTGATGTCGTACAAGTGATCTAAGAATGAGACAAACTTAGATTGGTAGTTCTGTGGTCAGAATAGCATAACATACACACAAAGACAGGTTATGTAGTCTATATAAATTTCACCACTTCATGGTAAGCTACTAGCATTTCCAAATCAGAAGTAGTAGATGGTAATTGAGAGGACTGTCCTTGTCAGTAGTCAAGTATAGATTTGAAGCTGTTGTTACTTTTTCCCTACTTACCAAATGTATTTAAGTTAGATACTTTCCAGATGATCCCTTTGAATCTAAAATCTATTATTCCTTGTTTCTTATTGCAATACTATTTTGAAATAACAGTCCTTGCCCTCACTGCTAAGAAATTTAAGACTCACCTTGAGCCAGGTACCTCTGTTCCGAGAAGGATGCTCAAGAGTCTTCTCTCCGTCACCTGGTTTACTACACTAATGGCTACTAGGAGTTTATCTAAACATTTAACCAAGTTGTGCATGTGTGTATGCCATTGTACTTGTGTACACAGTCAGCTGCAGGTGCCCTTCACAGGAGCTATTCACCTTGTTTTTTGAGGTAGGGTCTCTTCACTGGGATCCGGGGCTCACTGATTTGGCACGGCTGGCTGTCCAGCACACCTCCAGAAACCCTCTCTGTGCCTTCACAGCACCAGCACACCAGCTTTTATGTGGGTCCCTAGGGATTGAACTCAAGATCTCACACCTGCACAGCACTTTAGTGACTGAGCTATCTCCCCAGCCCCTCTAGCAAGGCCTGTGAATTACAGCAGATGACAACTAATTCTCCCCCTTTACTCAGCCCTGGATATAAGCCATTTTTAAACATCATTAAGCCACAACTGCAGAAGCTCAGTGAAATAACAGAAGAGCAAGTCCAGCCTGACACCTTCCAGCCAGTAACAATGGGTAAGACTCCTGAACAGGCCAGCCCCAGAGCAGAGGAGAGCAGGGGCTCTTCCAGCCGTGCAAGCCTCTCTCAGAGTGAGACTGGGAGTAACAGTGTGGTTAGCCGGAAAGAGGAGGACACAACACAAGCAGATGAGGAGGAGCCATTTCAGGACGGAGCTTATGACTGCTCTGTGTCCTGACAACAGCAAGTAACATCACAAGAGGCAGTATTAATCAAGCAGCGTGCAACTGAGCACACAGTGACCTGGCTGAATGATTTCACAGGTAAAAGAACAAGGGTCAAAAACTCTTTCATAAAGTATTATTTTAATGAACTCTTCCTCTCAATCTCTTGGACTCCATAAAATATGTGCTATCAAAGCATCTTTCATAAGAAAAATGTAAGCTGTACTAGAAAGTATTGAGCATAATATAGATGTACATGTAGAATATTTTGGTTTTATTCACAACAGATTGGTAGTTGTTAATGAGTAGGGATTATTTTGCCCCAGGTGAGCTTTTTCACTACTTATAGCTTATATATTTTCTGGTTCAGTGTATGTCTAGGCTGGTTCTTTTTTTTTTTTTTTTAACTTTCTTTTAAATAAATGCTAAGGTGCTTGCTGTAGCTCATCAGGTACCTGAGCTACTTGTTTGCTTCCTTGAATAGAGTCATGGACTCCAGCTGGTCCTCTGAGGAGACGCTACCCTTGCACAGTATGATTCAGTGGACAGGGATCCTTTGGATTTAGTACTCTGTTCTGTAGCAGTCCCGAACTGATGGAAGCTATACCTGTGAGTTAATGTGCCTGGTTGAGCAAGCTTAATTCCTACTAGATCAGTGTGGACAGAGGGTGAGGGGTTCTTGTCAATTATGCTGACACCACTAAATTTTTTATTAAAGAACTGTATCTTTTTGTGAATATTCTTGTGTAAATAGATGCAAAGGCATTGTCCATATTTTTAAGGCATGTATTATAATCTGTAAGGTTTTATGCTGGATTCTGCATAATTATTCTCACTCTTGGAATAAAGACAAGATTTGTTCTTCTTTCCAAAATGAGAGGTCTTCATAGAGACAGGGTTCTTGGCTCAGCTGTAAAGTAGCAGTAATCCCACTGATCATGAAGTGGAAGAGGTTTTGTGCAAATTAATGTAGTTTCTTATTTATTGCTTTTGTAAACTGAATAAAAATGGGCTTTTATGTACATAAGACTGTGGGATCCTGTATTATCAGCTACTAAAAATTGGTTTGTAAATTCTTTGTAAATTCTTCATTGTAAAAGTTGAAAAATATTTTATGTATTTCTAGACATGACTTAAATTTTAGTTTTCATACATTATGAAAGCAGAACTACATATTCAGTTGCTTCAAACTAAATACATACCCACCATATGTAATTCTAATTATTAACAGTATTAATTTAGATAGCTTATTTGTACTGTGCAATTTGAACATGGAATGCTACGTTATTTTTTATGAAATATTGTTTATTTTTATAACACAATGTATTTGATGTGGACCAAATTCGTACCACTATGTAAAAACAGCCTCTTATAGTGCAGATATAGCTTAGGAATAAAGTTCAGCCCTCTGTTCTACTTTTTAAAGAGATATATTTAGTCCTCTTAGGCAACATTCTTTAGAGGGAATCTCAAAATTATTTTGAAATTACTTCAAATTTCACCAACTATTTAAAATTATTGAATTTGGTAATTTACTGTTATTTCCTTTCTACATTAGAAGTGCAATAATTTCACATAATAAAACTCCTGAATGGGTGAAATATGTGACTCTTGTTACCTGGTCCTTCTGGTGCTACTTTATTTAAATCGTCTCAAACCACCACCTTGTTCTGAATTTTAAAATACAGAATAAAGTTTCCTATGTAAGTACATGCAGCACAGCAAAAATAAGTAAATAAATAATAAAATTAAAAAACAACAACAACAACAAAACAACCCTCAGCTGAAATGTTTTCTGTCCCACTCAACCAGGGAGAAGAGCTAGCATTTCTTTTGTATTTCTAGTGTGACCAGAAATTTTATTTAGTTAAATAAAAACAATTTACTGTCATGTGATCTCTTCACATGTCTTAAATGGCTGCTGCTGAGTTAAACTCACCTTTTTTGGTGGTGGTGGTGGAAGTGTTAAATGAGCCTAGGCCCCTAACCAAATGCTCCAGTAGTAAGTCACATCCCAATCCCCTACCTTTTGAGGCAGAGCCCTGCCCAAGCTGCACACCAGTTTGAAACTTCTCTGCTGCTCCAGCTGCTCCAGCTGCTAGGATGTTAGTTAGAGTTGTGAGCTGCTGTGCCCACTCATCTCACCACCTCACAGTCTGAAAGGCAGGGTCTGGGTTAGTTACTGTTCTCCTGTGGCTGACTAACTCGTAGAACTAGGAAACACCGAGGCAAGAAATTTGGCAAGCTTGAGAAAATTATTCTTTGGTGATATACTTTAAAAATATTTAAAAATTTTTGTTTTGCTGTATTGTCTGGGTCAAAATATATCAACTGTATAAGCCATATCTTTAATGAACTTAAATATTCAGCATAAATATTTGAAAGTTAATATATATGGTTAAATTTCTTGCTGACACCAAAACAAATCATTTGAGGATAAAAACAACCTTTGCTTGTAATTAAAGTTGCTGCTGCTTCTGTAATGTGTATTCCCCCACTCCCCGTGGTAAAGGGTAATAAAACTATTATACGAGCTTTTGTTTACTTATCTCAGGTTAACAGCAAAAATGCCACAAAAAATAAATTTTACTTTACAGTGTCACCACTAATCTCTCCTGAATGAAATACAGACTAAAATATTTATATGTAGATACACAGTGGGAATATCCAAATGACTGATAGAATATTGAACTATTCATAACATTGGTGTACAAGTTCAAATACAGTGAACACCTTGTGATCACCAAACCAACAGAAGTGAAACTAGGTATCATCTCTGATAGGTAAATTGAAAATGATTATCATGGTTTCCCATGTCCCTTAAATGTGCTTTGTGAATTTCCTTATTTCAGATATTTCATAAACAGAATTATTTAGTATGTGGGTATTTATCACCTTGGTGTTATGTTTTCAAAATTCTTTGTATCTGTTTACTTTTTTTTAAGCTGAATAAAGCTGTTGTGTGGATATGTTTACTATCCATTTAAAGGTTACAGTTTGGGTTTTCAACTTTAGATTGTAACACTATAAACATTCATAGTAATTCTCCCTTACCCTGCTTTGCCTTCAGCTGAGGTCCAAAAAGAACAAAATCTAAAATACAGACCTAAACAGTTTCTAACATCACACTGTTATACCTATTTCTTATTGTACTGAACTCATAACTTTTATCATGTATAGGCTGGGGCTTAACATCTTCCTCAGGGGGGTTGGTTTAGAAAGTGCAGTATCACAGGGAGTCTGGTCAAAGAGATACAGCAGACTTGTTTATTTAGCAATGGAGAAAACCTTGTACGCCCTCCAAGTACCCAGACCTTCTGCCCCGTTGACACTATATGGTTGCCCTTCATTGGCTAGGCACCATCAGGACCTCTGAAAGTCCCAGGCAGACTCCAGGTTGGCTCCCCTTGGCCTGTAGGCCTTAACTTTCTACAATCATAGATGTATATATATAGGGGAAAAGAACAATGTCTCATGTGTCTATGGTTTCAGGAACCCTCTAAGGTTCTTGGACCATATCCCCATAGATAGGGAAGAGGACTGGGGGAACCAGGCTCTTCGGTATGGATGTGTTTTCAGTTCTCTGAAGAAGTGAAATTTCTGGATAATGTAGTCACTATGTCCTTGAGCAAATAAAGGCTCCAGCTTCTGCTAACTAAATTTATCATCTTAGTCAAAAGTTTTTCAAGATCTGCGTGAAAATGGTTATGTGTATGGTTATTAGATACTTGGCTACCTTTGAAACCAAATGGAAAGGTCATTTTTATCTTTGGCTTGCCAGTGATTTTATATATTTTCAGACACAAGACTAGAAAAATAAGATAGCCTTAAATGTGGAAATAGAATAAAAGCAGTTTTAAAAGATCCATTTTTTCCAACCAGTATGTTAAAAAGTTTATTTCAGTAACATTGTAAGGCAACAATTAACCCTCAACAATTCAGCAAAGAAGTGAAAAGAGATGGACCAGACACATTCTTCCAGTAGCTTCCTGAGTTACATAGACTCTTGTGGTCCAACCTTCTTCATGGTAAAACCTTGGGGGAATCCTAGACATTTAATGCAGCTGCTCAACTGGAAACACTTTTTAGAACAATCATTCTTAAATACTGAGAACTGTGAAGTCACAATTCTTTATACTCCTCCCTCTGTGCTGCTTATATTTACACTCATTAGGAGGAAAATTCATTACTTAGACTTTAAAAAATATCTTTTTAGATGTGAATTACTCAAATGATCAGATAATCTTTAAAAGGGGGAGTTACTGATAACTACAGAGTGTGCTTATTAAAAGCCATGGATACTGTATGTAAATACTTGACCATCTCTGGCCTTTAAGCATGCCCTGAAACTGAGCATCTTGTTACTGGGTATAATACCAAGTTTCATAATGTTAAAGAAAATCAAAACTGTTTGCATAGAGATATAACCCAAAGGCAAAAGGAAAACCATGATTATGCCAAAAAGGACGATGACACTCTGCCAACAGGAAAGAAATACAAGAACACCTTGTTTTGATATGCTTCCTCGGCATGTTTTCCGCCCCTCCCTGTCATTTCAGTTAAACCAGGAACAGAACAGAAGCCTGTATTTTGAAGTCCACTAAGCTATTAGTACTATTACTTATTTCCATCAGCTGTGGTTCTGCAAATCTTAAGTACTACCTGACAGATAATACATCCATAGCAGGAGCAAGACACTTGAAGCAGCACTGATATGATTTCTGTAAGTTCAGCAACAACAGTGGCTCCCACAGTCCAGTGTGAATACATGTGACAGTCAGCACATTACCGGTAATTCAGCTCTAGCTGCAGCCCTCTTATCTGCATGGGCCTAGATAGTTTTTAAGGACTTAGAGATGAAGCAGGCGTACAAGGAACATGATTAGAAACTGACATATCACACAAGCAACTGTAAGAAAGTTTTCTCCTGCAGTGCACACTTAACTATGCTCTGGCTGGAATTCAGATGGTTCTGAGGGACACCCTTCTCTTCCTAAACAAGTATATTTTGTTTTGTTTTTGCTTTACTATGGCTTTTCTTTCGATTATATTTTGGGCCATGTTTGTTGACTAACTCAAATTTGTCTTTTTACACTTGTTAATGTAAAAAGGAAACTAGCAAATTGTAGTGTTCATCATTTCTGTCACCGCAGAAACCTAGGGAAGCCACAGAGGCACCGCTATGACATGCCTTACTGCATCCCTGTCTTCAGAATAAAAAGTACTTTAACCTTACTGCTGCTTTTCTGCGGGGTCTCAACACCAACAGATGCAGGTATAGTAGTCTCATTCCTGTGTAAACCACAACCTCAGCGTCAGACAGCCAGTCTCACTAACAAGTTGTAAGAACTTAGTCACTTGCTAGAAAACAGAAAACCCAACGTAGCAATAAAATTATGTTCTAAAAGATTAACCTTGTATAACAGAGGATGCCTATAAAACAAAGAATAAATATTCCGTAGGATACCCCACCCTCTTCCTCTTTGACCTCAGAACAGCCATGCTAGCAGCTCAGTGCTCTGGGGAAGAAGTTTGGGTCTTATTTGCAAATATAACAACCCAGGAGCTGTGAGAAGGAAATGTAGCTGAAAGATGTTCTCTTCCTAAATATGTCTGAGAAGAAAGTAGACAATGAATGCTACCTCAGGAAAATGATCCACAAGTGGCTTCCAGGGCTCAAACTTCAGACACTAAATCACCCTAATGGCTGCCTGAAGAAATGGAGCTTGTGGGGCTTCCTTCTTCATGACAGTCAATTTCCTGTGGCCTGCAGTTTAGACAAGGAGAGCCACTATCCCAGTGAGTGGTAGTTCCCCACCATCCGCTGATAACAATGGACTTACCTACCTCAACAGCAGTCTAACGGTGTACATCTTTCTTGTTCCTCAGAGGAAAGCTACTCAGGTCGTATGTTGTGAGTGCTTACAGTCATAGAAATGACATGTATGAATGGCAGTATCCACGTGTGCTTAAGTGCCAGAAAACTGGAATTTCAAGTGACAAAAGGCCAAGCATCACCATCCCAAAGTTTAACCCATATGGTACATGGCCAGGAAGAGTGTTAACCCAAAAGCTCTTTGAACATACGCTCATTAAAATTCAGTGACAAATATCCATGTGACATGGGAGAGTCCCGTGGAATGTCCAAGGGGCACGTATTCAAAGTCCATCGCACGATTAAAACACAAAGAGACTGTAGGTACAAACCCACGCAGAGGGAAACACCCAATCCGGGAACTTCTCCTTCAGAGCATCGAGCTGAGATGATCTCTTGTCTTCCCCTGATAGATAGTGGGCTGCAATGGCCACCGTGACCATTCCTTCAGGCTGTTCTTCTGACTCCTGCTGGAGAAAACCAGTTAGTTCACTAAAGCCAACACACTGAACTCCAAGGTGGCTGACTGCTATTTGGCAGCCTGGGAAATTCTCACCTGTACTTCTATCCAGAACTGCCAGGCAGAGGCCTGGAGTCCATGGGAGTAAAACACAAAGTAGTCCCCTCCTCTGCTTGTAACTGGAGTGCCGTTGCCAAGAGACCACTGAGAGAGTGTTGATCCTTTGTGGGTTCGAACATAGAAAGACATATGGCTTGGTCCTGTAAGAGGAACATTCCCATCAGTCAGCGGTGACAAGCAATATAGTTAACACCCAAACCATACTGTCATGGTTACTCTGTGCTGTGACTTTAGGTGGACTCTCCACAAGGCAGGAGGTTTACCAGCTTGGACGTCAGTATCTAGCAACAAGGTTAAGTAATGAGAAAACAGAAAAGACAGAATCTAAATGAGAAAAACAACTGCTGAGGAAATTTACCTGATCCCCAGTCCACCCCCAGAAAAGTCTGCAGTTGAAGACCTGAAAGCTAACTGGCCTGTGGCTAGTTCCTTAAGGCTCTCAGTGTTTAGATTGTGGTAACTAATCAACCTGACTCAAATCCACTACTTACATGTTATCAGAAAAGTCTAGGATAATTTGGCCAAGTATCAAGGAACTATTTAGTATTGCCAGATTGACATAAAGTTAGTCATTACATTTCCACAAAGGACAATTCATCAGAAAGGGAAATAATCCCGATTTGCTTATTGAAGAATAGCTTGAGATGCCTATGAGGCTTCCAAAGACCCCAAATGCTCTGCCAACAAGTCTGCAGTCGTTCTGCAAGCAGCAGAACTTCACTAAGTTTTCTTCAGGTAGAACTGACAATCAAATGTCGTAGATCAGCTGACATCACTGTGAGGGAAATCCTGGAAGACTAAACATGGGAAAGGGAAAAGTCAAGTCTTCGGGTCAATGGGTATCTGACAATGAACTGTATCTAATACAAAGAATTTTCAGTAAGGCTTCTTAAAAGTCATAACCAGGGTAGGCAGTGGTGACACACGCTTTTAGTCTGGCACTCGGGAGGCAGAGACAGGCAGATCTCTGAGTTTGGGGCCAGCCTGGTCTACAGAGTGAGAGCAGAACAGCCAAGACTACACACAGAGACTCTGTCTCAGAAGGGGGGAGCAAATAAAAAGCCACAACTGCCAAGTGGCACACTCCAGTAATCCCTCAGGAGGCTGAGCAGGAAGACCATGAGCTAGCTTGTCCAAAAAGTAAATAAAGGCAAAATAAACCTAAAGGAAATAAGCTCTAATCGTCTTAAGAAACAAAGAAATGTTACAGGACTTGACTGTTGCTTTTGAGACCAACTTCATGTACTCCCAAGGGGTTAAACACAGATTTATTGCAAGTTCACAGCAATCATTAAGATAAGTTTAATTTGGGGTTGGAGAAAATGTTCAGCCATTAAGAGCATCTGCTGCTCACTATTTTACTTAGCTAGCCTAAAGTTCCATATATAGAACAGGGTGGCCTTGAACCACTGGAATTAAGTGTGCACAACCATGCCCAGCCTGTTTTTAATTAGCCTTTGTATCTGACTAAATTGCTTATGCCCGGAATAATGACAATGGGAAAGAAAGGGTTATAACATTTTATAAATAGTTGGCCAAGTATGGTGGCACACCTGTAACTCCAGCAGCAGTTACCAGAGGCAGGAGACTCCTAAGCTGAGGCAAGAGAGCTACAGATAGACCCTGTCTCAGACAAACTAAAGGCACACCCAGCAAGCAGTAAGTGCTGTTGAAACTGAATTAGTTGTAGATACACATTTCAAACTCTAGGGCAATTACTAAAAATGACAGCGGGGCTAAGAGAGATGTCTTAACAGTTAACACTTGCTGCCCGTTTCTGAGGAACAGATGTTAGTTCACAACAGCCTTTAACGCCGATTCCTGAGGATCCAACACTCTCCTTCAGGCCTCTTCGAATGCCTGCAAACGTATGGCATACATTGACACACACGTGCAAATACAAAATTTTGTTTGGTTTTTGAAAACAGGGTTTCTCTGTGTAACTCTGGCTGTCCTGGAACTCACTATGTAGACCAGGCTGGCCTTGAATTCACATCACAGAGATCTACCTGCTACCCATGTGCTGGGATTAAAGGTGGGAAACACCACTGCCCAGAACAATTTTTGTTTTAAAGGAACCTATAAAATGGAGTAGTTAAAATGGAGTAGTTAATAGCTCAGTGAAAACTACACTAAGACAGAAAGTGTGGAAGACAAAATGAACAAAGACAAAAATATCAATCCATTTAAACTGGGTCATAAAACCCAACCAAGTACTACCTGTAAGAAATCCTCTTTAAATATGAAAACACATAGATTAAAAGTAAATGGAAGGTGCTGGAGATGTAGCTCGGTGATAGAGCATTTACCTAATATGTAGACAGCATAAAAAATATGTTGATAGAAAAATACACAACTTTTAATTCGCATTAATCAAAAGAAAGCTTTGGAGACCTACTGTTAACTCGAGCAAGTAAGTTTTTCACTGCACTGGTAAAAAGGCAATTGTATAAGATCAAAAAGTAGTCAATAAGGAGATACAGAAATACTTAAAAGTATATGCGCCTGACAGCAAAGCCTGAACATGGGTATGTGCATCCAACAGGAGTGGCTCACAGGGAGCATGACCCAAGCACCGCATTTTCAGCACCAGCAGACCTTAGCATGCTCAGAATAGAAGCCATGCAAACAACGATTTCTTAGCTCAAAATGAAATTAAACAAGAAACTGATGTCATAAAAGAAGCTGGAAAATCCTGAATTATTTGGAAATTAAAGAACACACTTCTGTTAACAAATGGGTCAATACAGAAGTCTCAAGGGCTGGGATATAGTTCAGTGGTAGAACACTTGCCTGCAGGGTAAAGTTCTGGTACCAAGTGTCAAAAGAAAGGGTTTTGATTTAGCATTTTGAACTAAACACTAAAACACAACTTAAAATCTGTGGGCTCTAGCACCAGCTTCATAAACTATGGTCCACAGCACCTTACAGGTTGTATGACTCAATGTATGTGTGGGTGGGGGGGGGGGGGATCAACGGAAAATTAGTAACAGTTAAAGGTTTCTGAATATGCAACAACCAGATAGTCTGAATGAGAATGGCCCCCATCGGCTTGTATAGTTGAATGCTTGGTCCCCAGTTGGTAGAATTATTTGGCAAGGACTAGAAAGTGTGTCACTGGAGGCAGGCTCTGAAGTCTCAAAAGCCCACCATTCCTACTTACGAACATCTCTGCTTTATTCTTGTAGACCAAAGAATAAGCTCTCAGCTACTGCTCCAGCACCATGCCTGTCACCTTGTTTTACTTCCTGACGGTCATGGACTCTGACCCTCTGCAACTGTGAGCCCCAAACTAAATGCTTTATTTTACAGGTTGTCCCGGTCATAGTGTCTTAGCACAGCAACAGAAAATTAATTAGACAAACATGTAATGAATCCAAGGTATTTATAGAAGCTTTCTCCTGTGAGGCACTCCATGACTTAAACACAGCCTTGGATCTGAACACACCGTTGAAGACTTTGTGCTGTGGATGCGGTACCACCAAATGCTGGCTGAAACACACTGGCTCAGATCTGAGACTCATTAGCTTGTGAATTAGTATTTATATTGTCTGTACAAAATATTCTTTTGCAAAAGCATTAATAGTCATATAGTCATACACATATTTTTACCTTCATTTATCAGCATATAACTATCAAACCTGACTGTCTTTAGACTGGAATTTGTTAAGACTTTAATTTTTAAACTTGCTATTTGAGTTCCTGACAAGTTTCATAAAGACTTGTTAAATGAATTTTGTCTTGGCATTAGGACAAAATATTACAATTTCTGCAATGGCCCTAACCATACTTCTGCCATTTGTACTACATGTTTATTTGGAGTGGCACTCCTAGCACTGATGACTATAAAGTCAACTTTTGGAATTACAGAAGATGCTCTAAATTCTACAACATCAAGTACTCAAGATGCAATTCTTCATGTAAAAAATAAATGAGGACATCCATATCCCCAGTGTGTGAACTTGCTTTTGTTATTAGTAACTGGTAAAATTATATGCACAGCAAAGAACTTTTAAAATAAATTTCTCTGATTTATTATCAGTAAATTGCTAATTTGTATACCTATGTTATAGCCCCAGAGCCAAATAAAAATTTCTCGGGTGTAAAAAGTTACAGGTATAAAAATTTTAAGAAACCTTAACCAAGAGCATAAGTAGTATTCAAAAGGAAATTTATAGCACTGAATGTATATATTAGGAATAACAATTTAAAGGAGGTAAGGTAAGCTTCCACTTTACGAAAGAAAAAGAATAGTAAACAAAACCCAAGCAGGACAAAAGAAGTAACTAACTGAAAAGCTCAGAAGTGAGGCGAGAAGAAAACTGGCTCACCTGTTGCTTCAAAAGTCAACTTTATAGAATCCCATGGTGTCTTCTCTTTGGATACAAGTCTGAAATGAACAGGATTTCTTGGAGAAATTTCTGGAGCCGGAAGATACCAATTTTTCCTAATGGAAAGGTAGCATTAATATTTAAGAGGCCTTCGTAACTGACAGGAGTTCAGAATGAATACACAAAGGGGTATGAAAAACACCTAATGAATGTGTAAATAAGGCCAGCTCCTGATGCCTGCTCTGTAATCAACCCTTCCGAACTTAACACTAAGGAAGTTAAGGGCTGGAGAGATGGCTAAACAATTAAAAAGCTCAGCCTGCTCTTGCAGAGGACCTGGGTTCAGTTCCCAGCATCAACATGGCATCTTACAGCCACCTGCAACTCCAGAACCAGAGATTGTGCTCTCTTCTGGCCTCCAAAGGCACACGGCATACACACTGCGCATAAATGCAGGGGAAACATCAAGTGCATCTTTTTAAAAGAACAGAATTACCTGTGCAGCTCTACTACCTGTCCTGTTTCCTCTGATGCAATCTTGAGAGGCCAACTCTAAGAACATCTCAAGCTAGGATGAAACGTTAACTGTTGTTTGTATCATATTGGGAGGGTCACTCTTTCTAACTACTCAGGTTTCTTGAAGAAAGACTTCTTAAAACTATTCTGCTGAGTCCATTATCTGACTAAAGAAATGAAAATTTTGTAGTCTTATTACAAACAAGCATTTTTTTGTAAATGTATTTTTTGGTTCTTTGTAAAGCATTACACAAACACTTGACTGAGTTAAAGATAAGGTTCAATTAATAAGGGCCCTGAGACATTGATCGAATTTGGGAACTAATACCCAACTTAAACAAAAAGTAATGACCAACCTGACCAGAAAGTGCACTGGAAGATACCAAGGGAAGCCACAAAGTGGGGCATCCTCCTCACAGTGAGCTCGGATTGTATCATTGATCTCAGGGATGTGAGGTGTTATGTGAGACATTCCAGTATAGTCAAACCCATTGATCCATATTCCAGAGTCTCTTTTTACTACGTTTCCTTCCAAGTTATGAAAAGTTCTACTCATGTGCTGAAAAGAACAAGACTAGTAAGGAAACTGTTTTAGCTGTTTCACCCACATTACTACCCCAGTTCAGAACTGATTAGAACGGGAAACAAAAAGGAAACTCAGTAACTACTAAGTCACTCTTAGTGAGCTTTTTTCTTTTAAAGTAGATGACACATATGTAAATGAATGTTTTATTGTAAATCACAAATATAGTTGAATGTATATTTAAGTTATAGATAAAACTTGGCTAGGCACTGGTTGCACAAACCTTTAATCCCAGGAGAGGCACACCAGGTAGATCTCTGAGTTCAAGGCCAACCTGGCCTATAGACCAAGTTCCAGGAAAACCAAAGCTGTTACACAGAGAAACCCTGTTTTGGGAGTGGTGAGAGGGATTACATATAAACTGATCAGGGACAGTGTGTGTTTGCGGGCTCATTTAATCAGAAGGCTGAGGTGGAGGATCATCTGAGCCTAGGAGTTGAAGGAAGTCTAGGCTTCTGCAAGAGTCTGTCTCCAAAGACAAAGCAGTCAGGTGAGATGGCTTAGTAGTGGTTAGAGCATATACTGCTCTTCCAGAGGACCCTGGTTCAATTCCAAGAACCCATCCATATCAGGTGACTCAAAACAACCTGTAACTCCAGCTCCAGGGACTCAGCACCTTCATTCAGATACACATACCCACACAGACACATGTACATACTTAATTAAAAATAAAATCTCAAAAACCCAGATGACAAAAAATTGAAATTCTATTCAAATTTAAGTTAGAATTCCTTCCAGAAAAAGACTGAAAACAAATTATGGGAAGCACACGTCTATACCCACACATTTCCTCCTCGGACACGGGAAGCACACGTCTATACCCACACATTTCCTCCTCGGACACGGGAAGCACACGTCTATACCCACACATTTCCTCCTCGGACACGGGAAGCACAAGTCTATATCCACACATTTCCTCCTCAGTGCATTACATGAAACTAATCCATATGCAGAGAAAAGACAGGTACGGCACACACCACATGTCAGTCTTACTGTCCCCCAAAGGCTTACAATTCATTTAAAATAGCTACTCAGCAGAAGAAAACAACAGCCTGAAGTCAGGGAACAGCATAGGAAGGGCTTCCGTGACATGGGCTGACAAACTGAAGCACATGTTGGAACTCAGGGCTACCAGCTTTGGGTAGAATATCACTACTTTAACTCTATAAAAGGTTATCAGTGATAGAAATTTGCGTAGCTGGTAGGGCCTAAAATAGCTATTATTTTTGCCCTTAATGGGAAAAAGAACCCCCCCAAAAAAATCACAGTCCTTTTAAAAAATAAAAATATAGGGGCTGGAGAGATGGCACAAAGGTTAAGAGCACTGACTGCTCTTCCAGAGGACCCGAGTTCAGTTCCCAGCAACCACATGGTTGCTCACAACCATCTGTAATGAGATCTGGTGCCCTCTTCTGGCCTGCAGGCATACATGCAGACAGAACACTGTATACATAATAAAATTTTAAAATATAAAATAAAAATGTAACTTTTCCTAAATACTACTGCCATAGTTGGAACAACTGGCATGCCACTGAAGCCCACACTGGACCGCCTTAAAAGCTGTTATACAAAACATCACTGTCCTTTAAGACTACAGCCAAGGGCTATTAGGATTCCTTTCAAAATCTCTCAAGTTTAAATATTTAATTTTTCAGACCTTGAATAATTAATTACCTAAATTATGACTCAGTGTGACCACTCTACAACCTCTATCTAACAAAAAGGGAGACAAAGCTCTGGCTATACAGTAGCCCTTAAGAGGTTTTGGAAAAAGACCTAAAATGCAAACAGAGTCCTAAACTTCATTTTAATAACTCCTTTTAGGTTGTTTTCATCACATACTACTTTAAATGTTCCTGAGCCTCAATTTTACTAGCAATTTTTAATGTCTATTTTATTTTGTTAGTAATAGTTTAAGACTTTTTTTTAGTGTGCAATTTGTATTTTTAAATGCTCATGATTTCCAGCTTATATAATGCATATGTTATATATACATACAAACACACGTGTGTGCGCGCGCACATCACGGAAAGAGTCTAGCTAATAAGAATGCCCACCGATAGTCAGTGTTCTTTGTTGTCTTATACACAAAGAAATCTAAACCAACTAAACTATGTCAGCAGCAGGAAAGTCAATTTCCTGTTCACTAGTGAAGCTCAAAACACACGCAGCAAGTTTCCCCTCCTGACCTCACTGCCCTTACCTGAAGGAACACTCTCTTCGGCTTTGGATTCGCAGGACTGGAGCTGTACGGAAAAAAGGCTCCACTGCAGACGAGGAGGAACGAGATGGCACACACCAGAGTTAGAGTCAGCATAGTTGTCTTTGTGCTTTTCACAAGGTAAATGAACTTAATCTAAACACAATCACAAAAGACAGAAATTATAAATTCATACCATTGGTAGAGAAGTGTTTTAAATGACCTTTTTTAGTAGGTACTGTTGCAAGGAGCCTGGGTAATATACTATGACACGCAGTAAAAAAAAATAAAAAAGCAGTAATCCCTCAGGTGTTTCCATACTAAGTGAGAGTCTAGAGAACGACAGATACCATCAACTGGCCAGGACGGTCCTTCCTGACAGTGGACCTGAGAGCAACAGGAGGATGGAGACGACACACAACGATGCTGTGCTCGGACATCAAAGGAGAAAGGACCAGAGTCCATCAGCAGTCCAGCCAGCACCTTCTGAGACTCACTGCACAGCAGATACCACTGAACTGAACCCAACATGGCATCAAAGCTGCCAAACTGTCGAAGGGAAGCTTGTGTGCCCAAACTACACTATGAAACAGTAGTGTCCTTTAAGTTAACCACTGTAAACACTAAACAAGGAAACTGGACTTGGGACGGTAAACGCAATTCTCTCAGTTGCAATGTTGGCATCCAAAAATATACTTAGCTTTCTTTTTTTTTTTTTTTTTTTTACTGTAACCAAAATAGCAAATTGAAAGAAAAGTGAACACGAAATGCATTTCTCAGGTCTGAGAAACTATCTAAAACTAGCTCCTGCTTTAGTTTCATCTTCCTGCCTACATCCTAAGCTCATAAAGAACATGAATACAAAGATATTTTCATAGAGAGGAACATAAAAAATATATCAAAGTCTCTGCAAAGTTAAAGAATCAAATGAAGAAGCTAAGTGTGGTAGCACAGTCCTGTAATCCAGCACTTGGTAAGTGGAGGCAGGAGGTCATCTCCAGAAAGTTAGGCGAGCCTGGGCCAAGTGAGACCTTGTCTCAAAACACAGAAATGGGCAGTAGAGCTGGGAATATGGCTCAGCAGGTAAGAGCACTCACTAGGTACAGAATCCCCCGCATGCATTTAAAAGTCGGCACTGGTGGGGTAGAAACAGGCAGATCCTAGGAGCCTAGCTGAAAAGCAAGCTTCTGGTTCAGTGAGTTATTCTCTCAAGGAAATGAGGCAGGGCCTGGTAGGGGAAGGGCCTGGTGTTATCCTGTCCCTCAGAATGTCCCCACTCACTACCACACATATGCAACACACATTAAAAGTGAAACGGGGGGGGGGGGGTACATATAGACCCTGGTGCAGCCTGTGTGAACGATGGCTGGGCTGTTTGTGCATCTTCTGACCCCAGACTATCAGGCCTATTTCGGCTCTCAGCAAGTGATAGAATCATTTACCCAACAAAGCACAACTCTAGGAAACATGATGACTTACCACTTAACAAGAGATAACTGTTTTCTAAAATACCCATGTAATAAAGCCTCACTGATTAGGCACCTTCTCTGCAGTAAAGATTATGGTTCAGTGTTCTACCCAAGGAGAAACCTCACAGTTAGAAGCCAGTGTCTTCAACACTATGACACATAAGTAAGAAAACAGAGAGAACTCTAAGAGCACCATTTCCAGTAACGAAAGGAAATAAAGTTGTTTGTTTTAGGGGAAGAATGCATCACCACGACCTTTACGTCTTCTTGGTATACTGAACCCACACACATTGATCCTAGCTTAAATTTTTTTCTTAATAAAGTACAAGCAACATAAGTTCACAGAATCCAGTACAGCTAAAGTCATAACATATATAAAAATAAAAACAAACCCAATTTTCCTTACAAAATATGAGGAAAGAATCATCACACAGACAGCCAAAATGGAGGCTAGCACAACATCAGGAGGGATTTCCGAACCGCTTCTTCCAAGGATAGGAGTGAACATCTCAAATACAGCCCAGATGAGATACAGTCCATAAATATAGGGGATAAACAGCCCCAAAAGGTAAAGAGCAAGAAATCTTCCTTGGGCACCTAGAAAAAAGAAAGATTACAAACCTATGAAAGTCTATGATAAGATACAGGGCTCATTTTCACAGGGCCCACCCACTCTGGCACCTGACAGAAACCAAGTCAGGTGTGACTCTAGTCCCTCGGACATGTGACCTAGTGCAATCCGACATTTTCATCAGGGAGGATTAAAGTAATATAATAGTAAATGTTCAAAAACACGAGCGTGGAATGGGGTATAGAGCATAAGTTGTTTTGTTTTTTCGAGACAGGGTTTCACTGTAGCATTGGAGCCTGTCCTGGAACTAGCTCTTGTAGACCAGGCTGGCCTCGAACTCACAGAGATCCTCCTGCCTCTGCCTCCTGAGTGCTGGGATTAAAGGCGTGCGCCACCACCGCCTAGCCAAGATAAATATTTACATGACATAAAAATTAAATATTTTGAAAAGCCAACTGATTAAATAAATAAGTAAATAATCTCTAGGTGCCTTGCATTTTTAACACAGTTCTCATTTTTATAAAAAAACAAAATTATCCTACCATGCTTCTTGAAGTCCTTGTACACGCAGAGCTTTGTGAGCAGCGGAAATGCTACCCAGATAGCACTCATGAATGCAGAGCAAAATCCTTGGTAAGTGAGAGCAACAAGGAAAGCACAGTGTACAAACAATGAGGTGTCAAAAAACACTTCTCCCAGGTACTGGTTGCTGACATTCTGAAAGATAGAGAAATGCAGTCTTGTTCACAGTCATTCATAAAGATCTTTTATTACAATTTCTTCAAGGTCAAATGCATCGTATTTTCAGCAGGGTCAGCTCTTCAAACTGAGGAAGGAAACACACTGCTGCTCCCGCCAGATGGGAGTGGTTACGACTGCTGCACAGGACAAGGCAATCCAGCAAGGTAAACAAGGCAGGCGCAATACTGCTCTTTCTATCTGAGGCTAGGAAATGGCCCACAGTAAAAAAGATTCCTAAAGGCATCCATCCCCTATCCTTCTTCTGCTTCTGCAACTTCCAAACCCTGTTCCAAGCAATCTAGTGCCCCACGAAGGACCCTGCCGCTGCTGCAGCATCGGGCCACGGTGGAAGTGTGGCTCTCTTTCCTCTCTTTCCTATTGCTATTCCATCTTCTTTGCCACCTTTTTCTACTCTCAAAACTTTCTTACACATCTGAAGTTCCTTTTAAAAGACATGGAGTCCAGGGGCACCTTATACTATTTGAGAAAGAAAGGTACCAATGGAACTTCAAACATTTTAACTATGCCAAAGAGATCCCATCAATGCAAACCTCAAGTTGTAACTACAGTGCAGACACCAAAGAGGGAATGACTCGCCTTTAGGCTTTTCTCTCCATTCTCATTCCTGACTTCAGAGACCCCACTTTAAAGTTCACTGGCAAACAGGTTTGAGTTGTTGAATACTTAGGTCCCAACCCTGTGTTAACAGGTGTGATCTTAAAAGAAAATAATTCCCAGAACTCAACCTGATGGCCAGATGGGCGATGCACACCTATGGACCCAGCACTTGGGAGGCTGAGTCAGACGCCCTCAAGTCTAAAGCCGGACTAGGTTACAGGGCAAGATTATTACCCAATCTGGGAACTCTGCCTCAAAATATTCAGAACATTAATAGCAGTAGTAATTCACTCTGAACCTGAACGCACTCAAAGAGCTTAGTAAGGAACACTGAAGTTACTGGGCATGTTTTACAGTACATGCCAGAGTGGAACAATTGAAATCTGCGTTCATCCACATCTCTGTTGGTCCCTCCCTCCCCCATCCTTTTCCAATATAGTTGTCAGAGTTTTCCTACTAAATCACAAAACCACTCAACTCTATCCTGCTAAGAATAAGTTAATGGTGGTCTAACTGATTTTTAGGGTCAAACTCCAGTTTCACCCTTGGCCCCCTTCTAGTGTGTCATGGTTTGTATTCCCCTGTCTTCACCGCACCAGACTTTCTTTTACTATGGCCCAAATGTGTCTTGCACATTCCCAGTTTTGACTGATCAGCAGCCTGGTCTCTATCAGGCATTAATGCTTCTAAAGCCCCATTCACACGTTACCGTCTTTGTGATGACGTGATAACATCTCAATTCCAAACCCACGTCTCTTGCCTCTGCATTCTGAAAGCACTCTATTCCACGTGCACAAAATACAAGACTCACTCTAGTTTCTATGTCTTTCCAAATGAAGCTGAGCACAAAGAAGGTGTCCCATTCTCTTGGAGCACTCAGCTAAGAGCCTGAAACAACCAGGCAGATTGGCGGTACAGGCCTGCAATCCCAGCAATCCAGGAAGCGGAGGTAGAAAGAGCACATATTCAAACCCACCTGGGATACAGTGTGAGCTCAGGGCCAGCCTGAGGAAATTTAGTGAGACCCTGTCTCAAAAGTAAAAGCAAAAAAGTGCTTAATACACAAGGATGGGAACCTGTATTCCAACCCTGAGTCCACATAAATGAGCTGGGTAATCCCAGCTTGAGTAGGCAGAGAAACACGGGTAGATCCCTGAGAATCTGCCAGCCAACCTAGCCCTAATAAGCAAGGCCCAGGCCAGTGAGAGACCTGGTGTCAAACAGCAAGGTGCTCCTTTCCTCCCGGCCTATTCCAGGCCTGTAGCCACCAAGAACGACACGGTAACAGTCCAGACCAGGGAGCTCATGACTAAGCTGCCTCCGAGGAAACAAATGATCACTGACACCCTTCGCCCTGGGAAGACAGGAGCACCAAAGGCAGAAATTTGGGGAACTCGAGACAAAATGTACAAAACCACACCAGATGACATTTTGGATTTAGATACAGAACATATATATTGGTGGTGCAAGACTAAATGGCTTTGTTATGATTTATGAGTCTTTGGAATATGCAAAGAAGAATGAGCGTAAACACAGACTTGCAAGACATGGCCCCTATGAGAAGAAAAGACCTCCAGAGAAGAGCGAAATGAGCACAAGAACAGAATGAGGGGTGGGGCGTGCAGGGTCTGGCTGGTGCTGACAGAGGGCAAACGGAGTAGAGCCTGCATTTCTGAGGAGAGGACAAATAAACTCTCACAAAGAAGAGACTTTGTGAAGGGGTAAAAAAGCTGATAGCTAAAGAGAAACACTTGAGGTTGTCCTGACCTTCACACGTGTGTGTGTGCACACCACACATATACATGAACACCCATGTACATGAATATATACCAAAAAACACTAACGAGAGGGCCAAGAACCCAGATTGGCGCAGAGCACTTGCTCAAGCATGTGCAGAGCCCAGCACTGTCAAAGTAAACGTGTCCCTGCGGAGTGAAAGCTGAGCACGTTGCCCCTTCCACTGCCATCAGTAAAAGCGAGTGGGGTTCCGCTCAGATCTCTTCCCACCAACAATATCCAACCACACTCGGACCCATGCTGAGAAAAGGCGTGTGATCCTGAGCCTCAGTGTGGTTCTTTGGGATACTGAAGCCACTCTGAGAAAAAGTATGATCGCAGCCACAGCATTCTAAATGCTGCGGAAAACACAGCTTGTAACTTCACCTTGAATTCTGCATCCCAGTTCTCAGAATAAGAAAACTCCAGGAAATTAACACCATGACAGCATTTGCTATAGCCATGCTAAACAATTTCTAATAGCTCTGAAAGACCAAACACAATAAATTTCACTTGTTCATCTTCAGTTCTTGAATGCAGCAAAAAAAAGAAGAAAAAAAAACACATCAGCCACTTACCACATAATAAAATCTTTTTGCAAGGGTATGTATGAATATTATTTTGGCCACTGTCGCAGTTCCATACAGGCAAACAGCAATATAAAAGTGGTTATACCATGAGAGAGACTGTCCAATGAGAGAGATGAACGCTGCAATAATGAGAACGGTGACGAGGCTAGTGAACCAGCCAATGAACGTGATGGCAAGTCCACATAAGAAGTCTCTTGGGTAGTCAGCGTCTGATGAACAGAAAACGAAAAGGTAACGTCACCATCTTGATCAAATCATTACAAAACCAGTTAGCTCTGCTAAGGGGCAAATGATTCAGGTAAAAGGGAACAGAAGCGTTGCATCCACCTTCTGTACTGTACTGGTGGCCTGTGTGTAGGGTAGAAGACTTCACAGGACCTTTCACTAACAGTCGATCTATAGGGCCAGCAGGACAGCTCAGCAGGTCAAGCTGATGACCTCAGTATGACCCCATGACCCACATGGTGGGAGGAGAGAGCCAAATCCCACAAGCTGCCCTGACTTACACACCTGAGCATGTGCCCACATCCACACATTAAAAAATATATATATTTTTTCAAAAAGTAAAAAGTCAACTTCTACAAACCTTTTTTTTACTTTTTGGTTGTATGTAAATTTTACTTTTTTTTTTTTTCGAGACAGGTTTTCTCTGTGGCTTTGGAGCCTGTCCTGGAACTAGCTCTGTAGACCAGGCTGGCCTCGAACTCACAGAGATCCGCCTGCCTCTGCCTCCCAAGTGCTGGGATTAAAGGCGTGCGCCACCATCGCCCGGCTGTAAATTTTACTTTTAACACAAGCTAAAGATTGAAAACAGTATAAAATATTACTGAATTTCAAAAAATATTAAATTTTGTAATTAATGAGTAGGGAAAACATTCTAACAGTTTTCTTCCTTTTTCTCGAGAAGTACACATGGCAGCAGCACTCTCTGATGTTTTGTTGGTACACTATTAACTTCACATCATAGAGACCACACAGCCATGAGAGCTGGACGGCCGACAGCTCGACAGCTCACAGAGCGCACTGAGCAGCTGCCCACAGACCCCTGCCTCCTATTCATTTGCCAAGGCAGACCAATCAGCTACTTTTCCCGGCGTCAGGGTGAGTGCATAAACACTGCTGACTTCACCACCCCTGGAAGGACAATGAGCATACGAATTCAATACTTACCTAGGGATTTCTAAAAAATATAAATCAAGTAATATTCTAAGATGCTGTACTTCCTGGGAAGAAGCAAAAGCAACAACTCAAATCTCTCCAGCAAATCCCATCCCCGTTCCAGTACCCGCACCTTAGAGGGAATACTTACTCCTGTGTTTGGGCTGCAGCAGTTTTTTCCCCAAGTACACAACGACAGCCATGACCACCATGTAGTTTATTATTGAGCCAACACGAGAAGGATATGCAATGACAAGGAGGCCAAACACATCAAAAAAGACCATGTTCCCATGTCGATACTCAGACGAAGAAGCCAGCATGTCAGATGTAGCTAGGTATTTAAGAACTGCTAAAATGTTGTCACCTTTTAGTAAGAGAGACAAGAAGGACTAGTAAGCTAGTAGATCGTGACTTACACATCCACGCACAGCAGAGCTAGGTCAGGCACCCTTCCTACCTAGGTGAGGCCCTGCTCCTGCTCCTTTCTAAGCAATCGCAGTGACTGTAATTGCTAAGTCAGACAGTGAAGACTAAAATTCAAGCCCTCATCTTTCCAGCGCCAAGCCTAACTCATTCAACCACATACTGTCTCTCAACCACACAGGCAATAGAATGCACTTTCTAGATATTTCATTATCGTATGTCAAAAGCCAAACCTGTTAATACCAACCTGCTCTCTGAATGGAATCTATGAGGATTCTGTCCGCTGTGTCATACTTGGTGTGATATATGTATCCATTTTCAATAAAAGCTAAGTCTATTCCTAAGGCAGACAATGGAAAAAGTCATCTTACTTTAAAGATTGGACTTGTGTTAGGCCTGTTTATTTAACATATTAAATTCTAAAAGACAAAATGGCAAAGCAGGAGATTGACTGATGTCTGTCATATTCATGAATGTCATAAACCCTTTTCTGTTCTTACAAAAATCTATAACTACAGTCCATAATTTAAAACATAATAATTAAATAAGCAGTTTAAGCCACATATTAGGGAAGAAAGTTTGGGGGATGGAATTTGGACAGTTAAGAGCAAAATTTAAATTTCGAGTAAACTGTTCAAGTCGCCAAAGCAGTTGGAAAAGTAAAACAACAGCATGGGAGTCAAAGACCCTGAGGATTCTTGGCATCTTTGGGAATGAAGTGCTCGCCAGCTCTCTCCATCACCCACTGTGGTACGTAGCCCCCTACAGGAGGCGGCACTGAGATTATGAGGGGGTTTTTAAAGGACAGCATCAAGAACTCTACTTTGGTGAGTCATAGGATAAAGCCCTCACATACAGTGTCCTCTCAGAAGCTATTACAATCTTCAAGAAGTAAAGTTTCCTTTGAATACAATAGCCTGTGACCACTGACAGAATACCTGGAATGTTTCCAAAATCCCTGTAGATTCGGAAGTCAGTATCAGAAGGGATGATTCCACTCTGAAAAACCTCCTGAGCCACCACAGAAGCAAAGGGGTGTTTGGCTGCTGAAACATAAGCCTGGACCAACCAAGGATTTTCAGGGCCTGAAACGCAACAAGACAACATAATATAAGGTTAACCAGATAGCTCTTTCAGCACAGCCACACCCGGTCAGCCGACCAAGGAAATGTGAGCAACAGCTAGCAATGAGTACAGGGACTCTTTCAGGGGTGATGGAAATGTCTTCGGAGCTGGAGGGGCTGCTTTGTGGTTAGGGTTTCTGCTGCTCAATCATGAGGACAAGAGATCAGTTCCCAACAGCCATGGTCAAGGGGCTCAGACACCTGTAACTCCAGCTACAAGGGTGTATGACCTTTTTGAACCTTTCTGGGTACCTGCACAGACATGCGCACACACATTCACAAAGAAATGAGTACACACACACACATAAAACATTTTCTTTAATACTCTAGAATCATGATAGTGTACACAACTATGTGGAAATACCTAAAAGAAAAAAACACTGAATTTTAACATTAAGTAAGTGAACTAGAGGACATTTAAATTATATATTGATATAATAAGACATGATTTAAATATATATATATTCTAATGAAGGATGCTGTTACAAAATATCACAAGGAAATCATGTGTGTATGTGTTCATGTGCATAAATACACATTATTAAAATATCCTAGAAGAATGTGGAGCAAATTATAACACTGGTTTTCTCAGAGTGCTGCAAATGCCAGTTTCTTATACTCAGTTGGTAGAGCCTGAATTTTTCAAAATGGAACATATTTTAATGGTTTAATCTGTTCAAATTTTATAAGTTTGTATTTTATTAACATCATTCAAAAATGATGCCAGCAAGCCTTCCTGACTCACTACAGCGCTGGCCTGGTGGGCCACTGTTTCTGACATTAAAAATGACTATTCCAGCCACCGAGAGCTCCCCAAATGAGCATTTCCCTCTGAGATGACAATGGAGCGCGGGAGAGTACAAACTGTTTTGTCTGAAAAGCCAGGACAGGACAAGTTTCACACGCACAAAACAGCTGAGGATGGCCATCTGGCATACACTCTCAAACACAATCTCTATCTGCTGGCCTGAGGGCGCTGTCCTCTTGGTCAAATGCAGAAACACTAATGAGCTTTCCAGAAGACAGCACCACAGGAGAGCTGGTGGTCTCCAGGCAGCGAGGGGCATTCTCTCTGGGTGGGAGAGCACAGAACAGGGTGCTGGGTCCTAAGAGGCACTTAGTTTATGGTACACGTCTGGCAGGGGAAATATGAGGCACACTGTTGTCTAGGACAGCCTGGGAGTTTCACAGCAGAGACTCACTGCTCTCATTGCTTAGAGCTCTGCTACTCCTTTTTCATTTGGGAGCTGCTGACTAAATGTGTTCCTCCTATCCTGGATGATATCAAGAAATGAGGTAGAGAGGTGCAGAGCAGCCACCTCTCTCTGTAGATATTAGAGTTCAGCTGCTTCCTGCTGATTACAGAGAAAATAGAAAAGACTGAGAGTTAAATAAAAAATCTTGCTGTATCTCACCTCGTAACCTTGAATTTCTCTCTCTCTCTCTTTCTCTCTCTCTCTCTGTGTGTGTGTGTGTGTGTGTGTGTGTGTGTGTTTGAGGCAAGGCTATGTAGCCTTGGCTGACCTCAACTCCCTATGTAGACCTGGAACTTGGAGATCGCCCAACTCTGCCCACCATAGGCTGGGGTTAAAGGCCTACACCACCAACTTGGCAACCCTGAATTTCCTAAAGGTGTAACTGAAGTACAATACAGATCCATCTTGAGAGTAAGAGTGTAAAGTAAGTTTGAGAGAGTAGTGGATTATGGTACTTTTAGGTTACAAAAGCACTTAGCGTAATTTCAAAACAACAGCATGCCTCTTGAAGATGCTCGAGAAAGTCTCTACCACCTTGGTCATCTCCCCCAGAACACTACTCGCCATTAAGACAAGTCAGAATGGTAGGACATGCCTAGGCTCCCAGCTCTCTGAAGGTAGAGGCAGAAGGATCCGGAGTTCAAGGGCAGCCAGGGATACCAGTAAGATCATTTTGACTCAAACAACAAAAGCAGCTTTGGGCAGAAGCTTTGTGTGTGGCTAAAATGCACTGATGCTTTGCCCAAGTTTCTAGCAGAGGCAGGACAAAGGACAGACTTTCATCATCAGGTCCTAACAGGCCTTGGCTGAGCAAGCTGAGCTTTAGGTTCTGCTAGGATGGCAAGGACACGGTACTTATCGATTTACCCTGTTATCTTCAGGAAAATTTCAGCCTAAGATTTAAACTCTCTCTGGCTATTGAACATAATGTTTAATTTAATTAATTATAATAAATATATATAATTATACATAATATAATAAAATTGTATTTAACAGACAGAACTTCTAAATAGAAATAAATGGTTGCTTTCCATTTCTGATTTTTTAAAATTAATTCAGTGATAAAATTAAATCCCTTAACTGAGTAAATTTTCTCATTTTAATTCATAATTGTCATTTTAAATCCTTATAATCATCCATAATTAATAAAAATAATATTCACCATTATAGGATGGTGATTTTTTTTTAAATATTTTTTCAAGACAGGTTTCTCTGTGTTGCCCTGGCTGCCATGGAACTCTCTAGATCAGCCTGACATCAAGCTCAGAGATCCTCCTGCTTCTGCCTCCAAACTGCTGGGATTAAAGGCGTGTGCCACCACTACCCAGCTGAATATTATTTTTATTACACTTTTTGTAATAACATAATGCGTTGAATTCTATACTTTATTACATTTTATCTGATGTCCTCATTCGCTTCTCTACTGCTGGGATACAACACTGACAAAGGAATTTCCGGGGACAAACAGGTTCGTTTAGTTTACAGGTTGGAGTCCATTCAACAGCAGCTAAGGCAGCAACTCAAGTCAGGAATCCGGAGGCAAAATCTAAAGCAGAGGCCATGGAGGAATGGCTGCTTATTGGCTTGCTCTCCATGGTTTGCTCGGCTTGCTTCTTATAAAACTCAGGACTACCTGCATAAGAGTGCTACCACCTAGAGTGAACTGAGCCCTTCCATGTCAATCATTAACGAGAAAACAAACACAGACATGCCCACAGGCCAATCTGATGGAGGCGGCTCCTCAGCTGAGGCTCACTTTATAGTTATGTCCGTGTGGTGTTGCCAAAAAAAAAAGGAAACAACCAGCACAGATTACAATCCAGTTAACTGGCTCTGAACCAAGTCTGAGCCCGAATCGCTCAGGTTCAAACCATGTTATACCAACTATAAACCTCACTAATTAAACCCTCCTGCCTCTATTCTTCATCTATAAAGTAGAAGTATAGCAGCATGTATTCCTCAAGTTGCTTTGAGAACTAAATAACTTAATGTACATAAGATATTTTAAACAATATTGCATATAAATAAGTACTATACAGGAGCCAAATGTTGATCATATTATTTTGTTTAAAAAAACTAACAAGGACAAGCAGAAAGACCGCTAGAACAATGACCAGCCAGCCTTGCTGAAAGGGTGAGCTCCAGGTTCAGCAAGAGGCCCTGTCTCAGTATCTCAATAAGGAAGAATGCAACTGAAGACGATACTGGATGTTAACACATCTAGCTGCCACAAGCATGTGCACACACACACACACATACAAACGTGCATATACCACACATGTACACACCAAAAAAAATTCACAAAGACAAGTTAAAATTATCTCCCACCTTAAAAATTAATCTCATTCAAGAGACTGCTCCTTAAAGAGCTTACTGACACTGAAAAACGCTCCACCGTCCTAAGATTAGAACTGAGCTGAAACGCGCAGTGCACAGCCTCACTTACCTGTTTGGAACACAAGTTCTTTCCCTCCTACACCTGCTGCCTCCAGGTTAATAAATGCACGGATCAAACTGGCCCAGGGATGCTGAGTAATAAAACCATGACTAGCCTTAATGAGGAGAGAAACAAATGTAGGTTAAAATATGGTTTTATATTGCTTATTTGCATGACAGAATGGCTATCTTGAAAAGGTGGGGACTATGAGAGCAAAGTAAACCCTTCTCAAAGGCAGACTCCAAAGATATCTTCCTGCATATAATGGTGTTCAGTTGGCCAAGTGGAAAGCCACTGTGAGAATACGCCAGAGTTAAATAAAGAAAATACAGGAGTGGAATCTACACGGTTGGCCATTCCTGCTGTCACAGTACCTTCCTCAGATCATCTCTCTGAAACTCGAAGGCTAAAGACTCTCAGGAGAGTCATTATAACATTAAGAAGTCCTTGAATCAGACACTTTTCTGGGCACAGTGGCACATGCCTGTAATCCTAGCACTCAGAAAGCTGAGGCAAGAAGATCGCAAGTGCCAGGCCATCCTGGGAGACATGGCAAGTCCTTGTTCAAAAACTAAAAGTAAAAACAACCAGGCAGTGGTGGCGCACGCCTTTAATCCCAGCAGTCAGAAGGCAGAGGCAGGCGGATCTCTGTGACATGAGGCTAGCCTGGTCTAAAGAGCTAGTTCTAGGGCAGTCAAGGCTACCAAAGAAACACTGTCCTCAGGGAAAAACAAACAAAAGAATGGCATCCTAGCAAGAAGAGCTGTTCTCAGTTGTGTTTCTAACATACTGAGCATGTCTGCATTCATGGGTATTTTTAAAGTCCTATCAAGTACAGTATTTGTTTTGCTTATTATTTTATGGTATTACTCTTATTACTAATAAAAACAATAAGTGTTACCAATCATTATTACTCTCATTATTATTCAAATCAAATATTTGAAACAATGAAATCTTACTTGCAAGACATTTTCCTCAGCACCATTGAAGAGAAACACCACAGCATGCTGCAAGGGTTCTGACGACACGGACATGCCTCGGAGAACCTCGAGCATCACTGCACAGCTAACAGCATCATCGCTGGCACCTTGGAGTCAGAGAAACAGAGTCACTTCTGGGAGCATCAGTGGCTTTCAGAGCTGGTGTGGAATGCAGCTCTCCCCTCAGAGCATCCTGACAGCTGCATCCGGAAGCATAACTGTCACAGGGTGACAGCTATGCCCAATAAAGACAGAAGTGGTCTACTCAATGACATAATGATACCCGGGACCATGCTCACAGCACACACTCAGTATCTGTGTTGATGAATTAACCAGCTAAGGCCACAGGCAAGCTGCAGTTTATCCTCTGCAATAGTCTTACTTCTGTACTCATGCCTTCCTCCCCGCCATCACCTCACATTTACGGAGGGAGCAGCTCTCTGTGGTGGATGCTTAAACTGGATGGAGGAGCACTCTTCAGGGCTTTTCTGGAGGGATAAAGTAAGGGAACGGTACAAAGAAGGCACCAAGCGATAAGACACAGAAGAGGGACCTAGGTAGGACCCTGATCCAGCACTGAAAAGGTACAGCACTCAGTCCACTCTGCCAGCCTCTATGTCAGAAAATTATCATACTAATTTTAACATTTGTATGTACTGACTTGGTATACGACAGCGCAGAGATACAAGTCAGAGGACAATCTTAAGGAGGTCACTTCCCTTCCATGATGTGGGTCCAAATTCAGGCAGCGGGGCTTGTTGGCGGCAGGCACCTTTAAGCACTGAGCCATCTTGCTGTTTCAAAAGCACTGTGAGGACTAAAGTAGCCGACGGCTATCTGACGACACTGAGAAGGTACGGCTAGTCGCTCATATATTGTTAGCATGTTCAAAGGGGTCCTCATCCTTCACCAGCATAGAATGAAATACGGGGATCCAATGCAGCGAGGAGGAAGGCTGCAGTGGAAAAGGAGTAAGACTGGACTGAACGAGAGTGGGAGGCACACTGGAGTCCAGTAACCAATTCTGTTTTCTAGAGAGCTGACTTTTCTCATAATGGCAGTTTAAAGGGCATTCGGGGTGAGTAAACACCACCCTAGTGCAGGCAGCACTTCTGGATGTGCACACAGTGAGGCAGGGTGCCGCAGCATTCAGTGGGGACTTGAGAGCAGGAAGTCATTCATTATTTCCTGATCAGAGAGCAGACGACGGCTCCACCTCACAGGTTTTGCACAGATTATACAAGACAACCCCACTGTCTGGCCCTGGGAAACTGCCCACCTTAGTCTTCCCCTTTCTCTGAAAACTTAGGGAAGATTGTGTAACCAGCTAAAATAAAATGCTTGCTTTGGGGCTCTGTTGAATTCCATACCCCACGTCTGCTCAGAAAGAAAACAATATTAATGACACCTTTCTTGGTGATTATTGGACTGATTATTATTAGCCAGCAGTCAGTGGAACAGCACAACCGCTACCTGGTCACAGGTAATTAGAGCAGGGATAAGCCGTAGAGCTACTGTGCGCCACTTTTCTGAAAACAGATGAAATAAACATTCCATTTAATTTGAAACTGTCCTTTAAAAAAAAAGCAAGCAGTAAGACTTTTCTTTATTCAAAGTGAAAGTGAAATTCAAAAACCTTTACCTTTAAAGGGCTGACTGACCAATTCCCCGTTCATATTCCCCTACTTTATTGGTTCTAGTCTTAGAAGAGACCCAGAAAAAGGGTCAAAATCCCTTTAAGTGAAAGTCAGAGGACAGTAAAAAGGCTGAGTGATTAACTGACATCCCTTTCCATTTAGAACCAACCCTGAAATTGAAGCCACCCCAAAATAACTCAAGTGTCTCCTTTACCGATGACCTGGCACCGCAGCAGACCCGAGGCGATAGAGGAGGTTCTCTAGATAACATTACTTCTAATTGGTATCAATTCCCGCATCCAGATATGCTGCTGGAGCTTTAAAACAACCGTGGCTGCGCAGTCCCAGCCCTTGGGCAGCTAAAGCAGAGTTGCTGGTAAGACTCAGGCCAGCCTACACTGCTCAAGATGGCTCAATAACACTTCTGAAGTTGGAGGACATCTTAGTGATAGAGCATCTGCCCAGCAAATACAAGTGTTGGGTTCCATCCCCAGCAGTTGAGTTAATCTTCAAAGACAACCTTAGGCCCTGAAGAGCCTCGGACAGCAAACCTCACCACTGGACTTTACTTCCCATACCTGTCACCTCCACCGCTTGCTGCCACAGACACTAGGTCCTTTCTCCTTTCCTGCTTTGGTTTGGTTTCGGTTTTTCAGCAGCATTATGGATAGAATTTGGGGCTGCACATACTGGCGATCACTCTTCCACTAAGCTACACCCCATCTGGTTCTTGTCTTTGTCACTTTTCAAGAAAGTTTTGTTCTTTGATGACAACACCTAAGCCGGAGAGCTGAAGCACCTCTTAGAAATGGTTCGCTTTCCCCTGGCATCGCCCAGATACACCTGCATGTGAAAACAGCCTTGTCTGCTTTTTCTCTTATTTATCTTTTCTTACAGGGATCCATCCCACATAAGAATTATGAAATGTAGCCGGGCGGTGGTGGCACACGCCTTTAATCCTAGCACTCAGGAGGCAGAGGCAGGAGGATCTCTGGGAGTTCGAGGCCAGCCTGGTCTACAAGAGCTAATTCCGGGACAGGCACCAAAGCTACAGAAAAACCCTGTCTTGAAAAAACAAAACAAAAAAAAAAAAAAAAGAAATATGAAATGTAAAGAAAAAGTCAGAGATCCTGAATTCAATTCCCAGCAACCACAATCTGGCTCACAACCATCTGTAATGAGATCTGGTGCCCTCTTCTATCATGCAGGCATGCATGGAGGCAGAACACTGTATATACAATAAATAAATCTTTTTTAAAAAAAGAAAAAAAGGGGTTTCTACATCTGTCTTTCTAATACAATGCTCTTAACGAGCCACAGTATTAGGTGTCCCTTTCCAATTGAAGCATCTTAATAATGAGCACAGGGTGGGTGGCTCTGTAGTTTCCCTCGCATAAGTTAAGGCACTTCTGCCCTTTTAAAAATGAATGTGTGGATACTGGTTCTGAATAAGCAGAGTATATTCTAAATGCAAAGAAATGTCCAGTTGCAAAATCATTTCATCAGGTTAAGGCTAGTTTATGTCCTATGTAATTCTAGATGGTTATATTGGGCCTGCTGTATATTCAAGCAGTCCAGAAGTATTGCTATCAATAGTACCAACAAGGGAAGCTTTTCCTTCAAAGACGTCATCCTAATGTTTTGCTCACAGTTAAGCCTTTCAGCAACACTATTAGCAAATTAACTACTATTTTCCCATTTAACAGCTAAGAAGTTAAAGAATAAATTAGGCAATAAGCCCAAGAAGGCCTAACGGTCCTCAGATATTCTCCTCCTGGCCAGAAGGCCCAGCACCTACCCCAGCTCGGTGTGATCAGAGGTGACAAGTCAGAAAAGGGGTCTTCTTAAGTTGAAAAGTCTCAGGATGTCGTGGTAAATGCTACTTTCTATTCTTACCTGCCTACATTAGCTGGGTTTTTTTTTCTTTTTGCATGCTTTATTTGTGAATGTTTACTTGAGTATATAGAAAACAATTTTAGAGACAATGCATGCCATTGGTTTAGACATGAGACCACTGTAAGAGGCCATTATTTACATGATAAAAGATTTCAGGACTTAAAAACAATGAGCATACTTCATACAATAGCATTTCAATAGTGATTTGTTTCACTCTATATTTCAAAAACATCGCCATCTCTAAACAAAAAATAAATAAATAACCCTTGGAGCCAGGCGGTGGCAGCACACACCTTTAATTATAGCACTCTGGAGGCAGAAGTAGGCAGATCTCTGAGTTCCAGGACAGCCAAAGCTACACAGAGAATTCCTGTCTCAAAAAACAAAACAAAACAAGACAAAAAAAAAAAAATCTCTGGAGCTCAGCAGTTAAGAGAGTGTGCTGCTTCATCATGAGGCCAAGTTCAGATGCCAGAAGCCACAGCAGCCACAACTGCTCATAGGTGCCTAAACTATCAGCCTCTTCTGGTCTCCAAGTACATCCACACACATACAAATACACAGACACACACACACATAAATAAAATAAGCATCTCATAAACACATATTTTTTTAAAAAAGCTCAATAATCCTTGCGGCCCACCACTACATCAATACCTCCACATTCTGGGAAAACTTGATCTCCAACTCTCAAGCTAGTTGAATCTCTCCACCTCCAAGCTGTTACTGTTGACTGCAATGCTTTTTTGTGAAACTTCTGGGGAAGCCTAATGCCTCTGTTAAGTTTTGCTACATGCATTTCAACCAATACCCTATTAAACAATTGAAGGACGTTTTAAATACTTTTCTTAGCATTAATCTTGCCAATGCAGGTTGCACTCTTTGGTGCTACTGCAAGGAGAAAGACACCCAGAGTCTGGCCTCAGGACACATGAAATACTATTCAAACTACTGAAGACATGTTTCTGAGAAATCTTATATTTAATAAAAACACAAGTTCCTCATTGATGTAGGAGGTTCTTCTGTCTATGTGTTGCTTTCATTGGTTGAATAAAGAAACTGCCTTGGCCTTTTGATAGGGCAGCACTTAGATGGGTGGAGTAGACAGAACAGAATGCTGGGAAGAAGGGCAGAGTGGCAGACACCATGCTTCTCCTGCCTGAGACGGACACTGGTTAGACTCATGCGGGTAAGCCACAGTCAAGTGGCGATACACATTAACGGAGATGAGTTAAACTAATAAGTGAGAGTTAGCCAGTAAGAAGTTAGAGCTAATGGGCCAGGCAGTGTTTAAATGAATACAGTTTCTGTGTGGTTATTTCGGGGGTTAAGCTAGCCGGGCAGCAGGACGCAGGACACAGCCCGCTCCTCTTCTCACAACACCCCATGACTCACTGCAATGACCACTTATAAGTAAAGACGGTATGGACTAAAGGGATACATACTGTGTGACTCACTGAGTCATGTTACAGCCTCCACGCCGAGATTTTTTTTTTTAATGTGTTTTCTGTTTTATTTTTATTTTTTAATTTTGGTTTATTATAAATTTTGTTTTGGGGAAAGGCTACAAAGGCAGAGGGTCAAAGTGACGGGACGGGGAGATGAGTGGGATTGGGATGCATGATGTGAAATCCACAAAGAATCAATAAAAAGTTAAATTTAAAAAAAAAAAGTTCAATGTAGGGGATTCTTGCTGATTTGACGAATATGTATTATGTCAGTCATTGTCTTAAACATCAAGTTTTTTGTCTTGCCAATGTCTATTCTGAGCACAATGTATTCTACCAGTATGCCATGCCCTCAGTAGACACGTGGGCAGTAACTCTAACTTGCTAAGTGATTGGAAACTGCAAAAGTAAAGTCCTCCAAACCACGTATCCCTTAATGCAGGGATGCTTTACCCAGTACACCCAAAGCAACCCCTACTGCAACCCCTGGCTGTGTAAGAACTTACAAGTGGACAGACACATCAGTAAACCAGTAAGGCTACTTCAGTCTACCAAAAACAGCTCATGTATTGTCATGGGGTTTGTGGGCCACTGTTTAGTAATTACAATAACAATAAGAACTTAAGGGAATATTAAATTGTTAGACTCTACACTGGTATTAATTACCTTGCCTTCCATCACAATGAAAAAATGCTGTCTAGAAAAAATGGTCCCGACAACTGCTCAGGCAGGTTGGGGCTACGTTAGTAAACTTTCTGGACTGCAGTGACTTTAAAATGACTAAAAATCAAGTACATACCTGGTGAATTTGCCACCGAGTCAAAGTGACAGTTAGCCAGTACAGCGTGCTGGGCTCCACCCCGGGGCTCCAGCTTCACCACAATATTAGTGATGTTGTCGTAGTAGCTTGTAAAGCCGCCCAAGAAGTCAATGCTAAAGGAGCCTGTAGGCCTCTGTATGTCCACGGAGATTCTGTGTAGGCTCTGGCTTTGCGCTTCAATCAGTCTGATCTGCTTCAAAAGGTACTGGACTGTCAGAATTTCATTTTCTGCACTTCCTGTAGTCCTGGGGCCAATGGCTGTTATGTGTTCCAGATAATCCCTGGGAGAATCAAAAGAACAATGATGAGGAACTCCTGCAGACTGGTAAGGAACACATCTCGGAGCAACATCCCACTGGGCTTCCCTGGAGAAGGAAGGCTGTTGTTGGTTCCCAACTGCTCAGCCCCAAAATAATCACACAGAAACTGTATTAGTTAAATCACTGCTTGGCCCATTAGCTCTACCTTCTTATTTGCTAACTCTTACATCTTAATTTAACCCATCTCCATTAATCTGTGTATCGGCCACGTGGCAGCGGCTTAACGGTCAGCATCTGTCTCTGGCGGGCTACATAGCTTCTCTCTGACTCTGCCTTTCTTTTTCCCAGCATTCAGTTTAGTTTTCCCAGCCTAGCTCTGTTCCCCTATAGCTCTGCTATAGGCCCAAAGCAATTCCTTTATTAACCAATGATAATCACAGCATACAGAGGGAAATCCCACATCACTTCCCTTCTACCTCAGAGTTTAGTTCTTTTGACTTCTCACATAAAGGAAAAAAAAAAATACACTGCCCTTCCCCATTTCTAAGACATTGGGTATCTGGCTATCCTGGAACTCACTATATAGACCAGGTTGGCCTCGAACTCACAGAGCTCCGCCTGCCTCTACTACCTCTCAAGTGCTAGGGCTCAGGGCGCTTTAAGATAGACAAATAAATAAATAAATAAATAAATAAATAAATAAATAAATAAATTCAGGCATGACCTGGAAGTTTCATCATTTTATATTGCATCCCAGCAGCTAATGTTTTCAAATCTTCTTCCATTGACCCGCCCCCCACATCAAATCAGTACCAAGTCTAGGATTTATATACAATACATGAGACTGCTGAAGGCTAGGCAGGAAAACACAACATCACAGGCTAGTTATGGATTGTTCCTTACTGGGTCTAAGTGGCCGAAACCGATGATAAGGAAAACCAAGGAAACCCCTTAACAAATTAAGTTTTCAACACGCTACATCCACAGGAGCAGTTTTTAAAATACGACTGCAGTTAAAAAATTTTCTGCTCGCTTAGGTTTCATCTGGTTTAAGACGCAAGTTACAATATCAAAGAATTCACCTTCCCTAGTACATCTGAGGTCGTTTAAAAAAGTTGAACCCTATACAGTATGTAATACAAACGAACCACAGACCGTCCGCGAACTTCAGAAATTGTGGGCAAAGTTCTGAACGGGTGGCTTCTGAGGAGTATCCACAGCTTCCGGATTTGGGAGCTGTGGGGCTTGGGAAGGCAGCACACTGCATTACCCCTTCCCAACACCATCCCAAAAGGCTTTATAATGAATGCAGTCTTGGCCCCACTCCCGTCTCATTTTAAATTCAAGAGAACTAACTAAAGTAAAAAGTGCAAGTTGCTCCAAAAAGGGAGGATGGATGACAGGGGCGTGCTAACCACCAATCATCTGCAGGCGGGGCAGTGGATGGTAAAGCAGACCCGATCCACCTGGCCACCCCGAGAAAGCAAAAAAGGGGGAGCCTGCAAGCCCCGGATACCCGCAATTCAGACTCGAGAGGGACGCACAGGACCATCCCACTTCCCACCCACGTGCGCCCAGGGCCCTAGGTCTCAGCGCCGCAGCGCCAGACTCACCAGCCTAGGGCTCACTGACCCGGGGCTCACCGGCGCGGGACACGCCGACTCGGGGGTCCCCCCACGCCGGGCTCCCCCCGCCTGGGGCAGCAGCGGACGAGCAGCCGGCTCGGTCGGCCGTACCTGGCTTGGCGCGCGTCGAACTCGCCCTGGAGCCCGGCGGGCCGGCTGAGCACCAGCCGCTGCAGCGAGAGCTGCACGAGCGCCCGCAGTGCGAGCAGGTAGAGCGCGAGCGCCAGCACCGTGCGCGCCTCGCACAGCGCGGTCCCCGCGCCCCGGCTCGCGCCTCCGCTCTCCGTGCTCCTCTTCCGCGTCCTCCCGCCGCCGCTCGCGTCCTCCGGAGCTGAGGCCTCTCGCTCCCGGTGCGGCTCGGCCGCCTCTCCCTCCCGACGCTCCGCGGCGCCGCGGTGCCGCCTCACGGCCGCCGACTCGGAACTCCATTCCATGGCCGCAGCCGCAGCCACCAGCCCCAACTGCCCCGGCCCGCGACAGCCCGGGCCGCCGCGGCCACCGCAGCGCCTCCTAGTGAGCGGACGGAAACTGCAGAGGGCCAAACTTATTCTGATTGGCTGGTCCGCTCTGCTGCGCCCGAGCGCTGGAGTCTAAGTGATCTTTGGTGGCCGGGGCGGAGCGTGGTGGCGGTGCTCGCTCCCCACCCTGGGGCAAGCAGATAGCCAAACGGAAAAACACCCCGTGAAACTAAAAATGAGCTGCCCCAAGCAAGAGAAAAGTGCAAGGCCGCTTTAAACAGATTGCACGAGGCATTAATCCTGCACTGGGCAAATGAAGACAATGACTCGATTTACCTCTGAAAAAGTAAGATTCTGGCTACAAAAACAAGAAGTAAGACTCCACAACCGGCAGTGGACTAACAGGCCTGTAATCCGGACACTAGACAGGATGTCCACTGAAGGATCTCTATTTCGCTTACAGAGTGGGATATAAAACGAACATCCTGCGTTACAAAAGAGAAAGAGGGAAAGAAAAAAGGTTGCATGTCTAAACCCAGCACTCAGGAGGCACAAAAGGGAGGAGTTACTCAAATTAGAAGCCTGTCAGGTCTACACAGAGAATCCCAGGCTAGTCCGGGCTAGGTGAGAGGGAGGAGGAGGAAGAGGAGACACAGCAGATAACCGGAGCTAGTGTCAGCTCGATTTAACAGATAAAAACAATGGCTATGGTTTAATGAACAGCTGCTGAGTCGAGCAGTGTGCTAAGTGCAGATTTTGAAAAGAAAACATTTCTATTCCTATTTAATAGCTGAAGAACATAAAGGCAACGAATGAAAGATGAATGGGCTCCCAAGACAGCCTTAGGTTCCTCTGCTACACAGGGCACTCTGGAATCAAAGGTTCTGAAAAATGTTCTTGGGCCAGATGGATCAGAAGGTAAATGTGCTTGTCCCCACCTTCCCCCAAAGCCTGACGACCAGAATTCCATACTGGGTGCTGTGGTAGAAAGAAATTGGACACCAGTTTCCACTAGGTGTCCACTGGCCTAAACGCGCACACACGTGTGTACTTGCAAACATACAGATCATGCAAACACAATTATGCTGACTAGTCTTATATCAACTTGACACAGAAACTAGTTATCTGAAAGGAGGGAGCCACAGCTGAGAAAATACCCAGCTTAGCACATTTTCTTAATTAGCGATTGATGGGCAGGGCATAGCCCTTTGTGGGGGTGCTACCCCTGGGCTGGTGGTTCTGGGTTCTAAGAAAACAGGCTGAGCAAGCCATGAGGAGCAAGCAAGCCATTAAGCAGCACAGCTCCATGGTCTCTGCATCAGCTCCTGCATCCAGGTTCCCGCCCTGCATGAGTTCCTGTCCCGACTTCCTTGATGAAAAACTATGATATGGAATAATAAACCTTTTTTTCCCCAAGTTGCTTTGGTCATGCTGCTTCATCATAACAATAGTAACCCTAACTAAGACACACAATAGCAAAATAAAAATGTTGAAATACCTTAAAAATAAATAAGTAATAAATGAAGTTAGTCTTCCTTCAATATCATCGTTGAGCGCTGCGCACCGCACCCCTGTGTCCGCGCCCCCGTGTCTGCGTTCTGTGCGCTGGCACCCAGTTCGCGAGCTTCAGGCAAGGGGGCTGGAGGTTAAAATACACAGACACACACAGACAGAGAGACAGCGACACGAGTCATCCTCGAATTCTCCAAGAATGCCCCCTTTATTGGGTTCAGGGGCAGATTATATAGAGATAGCCACGCCCCAGCCAAACACACCAGAAACCACTCTCCTGCCATCAGGAACTCCTGAAGGTCTCGTGCTCAGAGCAGCTGTAGGCACTCAGATCAGGGGATTACAAGAAATTCAGGATCTGGGGTCTCACTGCTCCCAACAGTTGAGGGGCAAGAAGCTGGTCATTGGTTTTAGTAGCAAATGCTAGCAACTGGCCAGTCTTGTTTCTGCTTGCTGGTGCAACGAGCCTCTTCGATTCAAGGTTCTGTAGCCCAAATTTGGAATGGCTTAAGTGTTCTAAGGCACTGACCTAGAGACCCACTGAGAAAACACAACGCAGGACCCTGACTGAACTTCTGTATCATACAACACCCTGCCCACCTCTAAGACCATGAGATGCAGGATGCGCCTCCAGCCACACTGGCCTCTCAAACACTTCCGGGTTGCCACCTTTCCTTTACAGTATCTCCTCATATACTATTTGGATTACCCAAAATGCTTGCTCCTTCCCTTCATTACCAAGCTAATGCCCTTCAAATCTCAACTGAAGTGGCACTTGCTCAAACAAGACTCACTCAATCCAGCTAAGCAGACACCACTTCCCATTGTGTGTGCTCTTAGAGCACCATTAATACTGTGGCTCTTCCATGTTTCCCTCCCGAGACTGCAGGCCCCACAAAGGCAAGGGGCTCGTCTAGCTTTCCTGAGCTCATTACCCTCCCGAGACACAGCGTGGCATGTGCTGCACGTCTCGAGTGGATGGAAAGGCAGCAGAAGCACAGAACGTTAGTTCTGAAAGAGCCTGTGTAGTCTGTAAGCTCTATGAGACCAAAGACAGTGTCATCACCTCACCCATAGTGCTTAGCGTCTGCCCAGTTTCTGGTTATCACTATGTATTCGCTGAATGGGAGAATGAAAATATATATATATATACACACACATACATACATACATACACACACATATATATATATATATCTTTCTATAAGAATCAGATTTTTTTTTTGCTATTTACTTCCCCCAAAGTCTAGGACCCTCTATCACCTTTAGAAGAAGAGTTCTCTAAGTCAACAGCCGTATCTGCTACAATATATGAAGATATATCAAACTGTTTCAATATATCAAGATATGGGTGTTTCTGCTGTCTTGTTATGACTGGGGGCCATAGAGCTTGGTGTGCTGGCTGGTTTTATGTCAACTTGAAACAAGTTAGAGTCCACTTAGAAGAGGGAGCCTCAATTGAGAAAATGCCCCCACAAGACCAGTCTCTGGGAAAGCCTGTGGTTCCTTTCCTTGATTGATGATGTAGAAAGGCCCAGCCCATTGTGTTTGGTGCCGCCCCTGGGTAGTTGGTCCTGGGGATGTAAAGGAAAGCATCATGCTGAGCAAGCCATAAGGAGCAAGCCAGGAAGCAGCACTCCTCCATAACGTCTGCATCAGCTCCTCCCTTTAGGTTCCTGCCCTGAGTTCCTGCTCTGACTTCTCTCAGTGACAGAGTACGCCGTGGAACTCTAAGTTAAAATAAACCTTTTCTTCCGCAAGTCGCCACTGGTCAACGTGTTCAATCACAGCAGTAGAAACCCTAACTAAGACTCCTACAGAGAGAATGTTCCAGGCGGCGGGAAGTGAGCAAGCTTTAGATGCAACACTGAGAAAGGCTGTGGGTGAAGCAGAAGGAAGTAGGACAGGGACAGACATCTGAAGAGGTTAGGGGAGACCATAGTCAGGGGCCAGCACATGGAGGGCCTCCCAGCTTTAGCGAGGGCTTGGGGGTGTTCTGAGAGGACCGCACAAAAACCACACCTGGAACAGTTGTCCATTCATACCCCGAGGCCCCAGCCTCAGCCTTAAGATGACTCAGCCAAAAATGAACTAAACCTAGATTTGGACTCTCCAGACTTGGTCCTTTATACAAAGTCTTAAACAGCTCATACTATTCCCTTATACATCATTACAGAGTTTATACAGTATGCACCCTATACACCATTATGGAGCTTATACAGTATAAACCTTATTCAACCTTATACAGCTTTGCTGAACACACTGGGCTAGCCTGCAGTCAACAGCTTGGGCTTTAGTAACATCTGGCCTTCCGAGTTCCAGAGGCTACTTTGACCTGGAGATGTGTTTGTTTGGAAAGAAGACGGCAGTGACTTACAATGCGAACTCTAGTTCCCTCACACTAAATTGATGAAGAGGATAAGATGGAGGCAAAGGCTTTGCTGCCTCTGTCTGACAGGCTGCTGATCACTGGGGCAAAGTCAGCTCATCCTTCTTGGCAGACCATAAGTTTTCCTTCTGTGTCTTTATGGGACATAGGACCGGGCTGACCAACAAGTATAGCTATGGTCCAAAGCCCACCTTTCTTCTTCTCTCTCCTGTTTCCCAGTAACTTAGCCACACCGAGGAAGGCTGACCTGTTCACGGCCAGCACACGGCCTCCCACACATGCGCAGCTAACACGCTTACGGACCTCCTTCCCATGAGGAGGACCAGCTCACTCGCCATGGTTCCCTTACGTTACATCATATTACAGTCAGGTGAGGTATCAAGCCTGATAAGAGGCACGAAGACAGTCCAAACCAGCTATAAAAGACAGAAACCGACATCAAAGCTAGGAAATGGTGTGAGTGAACAAGACACAAAAGCCAAGTTAAGAATCTCATACACAAGCAAGAGCCTGGCTGTCCACTGCAGAGGGACGGCTGAAGCTGTTCTGGTGCCCACACTGTTACTGTATCGTGGGTTTGTTTCTCTGCTTTGTCTCACGTGTCCCAGGCTGGCCTCAAACTAGCCAGCAATGAGCTTGAACTCTGACTCCCCCCCATCTCTACCTCCCAAAGGATTGCGCAGGTATCATCCTTCCTGTTTCATGCAACACTAGGGATTAAACCCCAAGGCTTTGTGCCTGTAACTGGGCACTCTGCCAACTGAGTCACAGCTCCAGCCCAGCAACTTTATAAGTGAGACAGAAGAACGTGGAAATGCCTGTAGATATAAGAAGAAAGGTCAAGTGATTAAAAAAAAAAATCGATGTAAGTGCAACAATTAAAGCTTAAAATGGGCAGAGTTTCCATCAAATAAGAAGTGTCAGACAACAGAAACGTTAAATATTGATTTCACAACATTAAAAACGTGTATTCATTAAAACAGTCACATACACTCACTCACTCACAGACACTCACACACAAAATTAATGATAGAGTATCTGGGCAGATGACTCAGGACCTGAGCTTAACTCCACAGAACCTGCCAAAAGGCAGGCACAGAGTGGCCTCTGACCTCTGTGGTGGGGAGACAGAGAAAGGG